TGTACATCGATCATTGCAACCAGTTCCCCTTCCCTCTAACCTTATGCTATCACAACTCCTGTTACTCTTCCTGAGGCTGCACTAGTCTTTCATCAGGTATAAATTCAGTCATTTGGCATCTGGAAGATCCAAAGCACAGCACTCACCGTTTCATCGTCCCCCTTTGAAGTGCTCCAGGGTGGCGGCATGTGGATACATGGGCTGTGCAGTGTGCATATCATCGTAGCATTTGTAACATAGCTTCCCCTGTGTTGTAGTTTTTCCTTTGTTAAGGCCTGTAAAGCACATACCATTGCTTTCTAGGACAGTGCCGGATTACAGCCATTTTTTTTTGCAGTGATGGCCTTTATGGCTTCTTTGCAATAAACTGTTGATGCAGAATCACACTATGATCTTTTTTATTTTATTTTTTAAAGATCATTTTATCTGGGGCTTTTATAAAATCCATACGTCATTTGTATCAAGCATATTTGTATATATGCTGCCATCATTATTTTATAAACATTTACTCTCTATTTGAGTCCTTGGTATCAGCTCCCCCCGCCCCCATGATCTTTTAAAAGACGTTGGTAGCTGCAGCTGTAACTAAAAATGGGCACTATCAACAACATGATAGAAAAAGGATGACAGTATGAGCAGTTAGCCGCCGAGCTTGCCCTTGTGTAGTGGACAGAGACATCTGTGACACAACTGCCATTGGTGTAAGACGTGTCCTGATCGGAGAGATTAGAACGTGAAACCTCGGTGTGTCCTGTTTCTTTCCAATCATAGTTACATAAGGGTCGGTAGGCACTGTTTGTTCCTGTTTGACTCTTAGTGTGAGTGTGCGCCTGGGCCACACAAGAACAGAGAAGCCACCCCACACGTTCACGTGGCTGTTCTCAGGCCAGGAATTCTTACTGAAGAAGTGGAATAAATTAATGGCCAGCTCTGGGCATTAGCACATCTTCACTTTGCCTTTTTTTTCTGGGGTAGACAGACCCCTTTCAGGCTTCTTAACTTTTAGATGGTGTGCACAGGGGCAGTGCATTGTAGACAGATTGTGCAGTGCTCAAGACTTCACAGCAGAGCACACCAGTGCCCTCGCATGGATTCTGATCATAGGGACCTCTCTTTAGCGTTTCTGAAGCTATAATTCTTTCTGGGAGCAGAAAGCTGCCTCTATCTGGAGGAGTGTCTGGTGGGGTTGAACCACCAACCTTGCTGTTAGCCCAGCACTTTATCTAACAGCGCATCGCCAGGGCTCTTTACTAACTCCCCTTTTCTAAGCTCTGATGTCTGCCCTAAAATGGCTTTTGAAATGATCTCGTGAAATTCCTTAGCTTATTGTTTTAACTTGGTGGTCTGAGATGATCCCTTCCTGATTCACCAGGGTGCAAAGTGCCAAGCTTTAGAAGGAGGAGAGTTGCTGCTGAAGATGTGAGATGATCAGGGCAGGTGCATCATTGTGCCTCCTAATGCGACTGATGCCTGGTTGTGGGAGAGCCAGCCATTGTAAGGCAGTGGAGGGAATGACAGTGGGCACACACTATTCGTCATTGGTTTCCCTTGTTTAGCTGAAGAAGAAGCTGTAATGGGGTCTTTAGTGTCCTGCAGCATCTGGTGTCCTCCATCCTCATAGCTTCGTCTCTCACTGGGCCCCCTGCAGTTTCCTTGCTAGCAGTAGGTGTGGTTTGGGGTTTTGGAAATTGTCACAGTGTGGGTGGGATTCGAATATCCCAGTTCTGGTGACTGCATGGGAGGAGCAGCAGCAGAACATGTGGGCCTTCCAGGCTGGGCACCGGCACCTGCATCTAACATCGACTGACTGACTGGATGGATGCCTTTCTCTCCTCCTCTCTCTCTCTCTCACTCAGGTTTTGCCACAAAATTTATTGTAAAAATACGGAAAAGGATGGCCGCGGAAACGCAGACGCTGAACTTTGGGCCTGAATGGTGAGTTTTCACAATCCCACCCCACGCGACGTGAGGCAACTGCACAGGACTAGGGGCTGGTGGAGGTGTTGGGGTGGGTGGTGGGTAAGTGTTCAGATAACAGCAATGGGGCTAGTCCAGGAATTAACCCTGTTTGGTAAACAACTGCATTCTTTAATTTGAGAAAAGAAAAAAAATATATATATTGGTCTGCTTATGTAATACCAGGAGATCAACATTCCCCATAGCTCCATCACCCAACACATTATTAGCTTGTCTTTTTCAGGGGGTGGAGGGCGGGGGTAGGTGAAAGGCAATTAAATATGAGTATAACTGGTAGCAAGCAGTCTTATGTGTATGTGTTTTCTGCTAGGGTTACTTTGTGATTGCTATTTGTAGACCTTCAAAGCATGGTTTTGATTGCATTATCATTTAGATTTGACTTTATGGATGGACTGGGCAAGGGCCCAGAGTCACACTGGCCATCGGCAGAAAAGCCCATTGAGGATGGAGTGTAATGTTTGCCACAATAACACTTAATTGGCCTTTGAGTCTCTTACAGATGTGTTTGGACCCCGAATATGGAATTTTCATGGAATTTTGAGATTCATCACTTTGTAGTGTGACTCTTCCCTTCCTTTCTTCCTTTCCCTTCTCCCAAGTTGGTGATTGAAGATCTTCTCTTCAGTGGCTGAATAATGATAGTTCCTTTTTCCAGTCAAATCTTGAACAACAACCCCTTTGGTCATTTTGGAGGCTACAGTACGTAAAGCAGATACTTGGGAATAGTGCCTTACACATTCCCGATTGTTCAGTGTGATGATTTGATAAACAATGCAACCCTTCTGTAGTAACTTCTTAGGGGATTCTGGATCATTTTGCCCTATTCTATGCATTTCTTTTGATATGTAATTCTTTAACTCTTCGAGGGAGAATTTGGTGATTGAGGCGAAGTCACTATTGGAACTTTTAAGAACTGATACAACGCCTGTACTTCAAGAATTTATTTTGGACATGTCCTCAACTGTGTTGTTATCTAACTTAGTTACTACTTTACATTTCTGAAAATAATTTTTTATTTCAAAATCATTGCATAGTTGTATAAATATTAGGGATGACAAGGAAGTCAGGGGATGATAATGCCTACTCTCCTTTTACCATGCATGAGAACCACTGTAAATACCCTGGTGCATCTTTTAAGTGGTTTTATGTCTGTTATTTGCATCCATATGTTTTCACATAGATGAGATCGTTTTGTACAGTCTGTAACTGGATTTTTAAAACTAAGATCTAAACATCTTTTATATTAATAAATGTTGTAACTATCTTAAATGGTTGTATTAATGGATGTACCATCATTTGTTAAACTAGTCCTCTAGATACACACACACACACACACACATACACACACACACAAGTATATATAGATTTAGTTTTTTGTTATATGAAAATATTTCACATGAAGATCCTTGAAGTGCAATCTCTGTCCACATCTGAATTTTCTTTACCAATTGGTCTTAAATTTGTCAAGCTCACTTTATAAACCATTTTGTGTGCCAACCTGTTGCTTTTATCTAGAATTTGTAGCTGCTTCTGGTTTATATGTACATACCCCCAGACCTTTTCTCTGTGAAAATACAATTGATTAAAATCCTAAGCTAACTTATGGTAGATCCCCCCCCCCAGCATCCCTCTGTTAGAGGCAACAGAGAGAGACACCACTTTGGAGTTAGCCAAAAAAATTTTTTTAAAAACCATAGTAACATTTGTAGAGTCAGGACACATGTAACCTGATTCTTGGAACATAGCCTCACTTGCTTTGTCAATCTTCACAACTGGACCCGAGAGAGAGAGAGAGAGAGAGAGAGAGAGAGAGAGAGAGAGAGAGAGAGAGAGAGAAAAGCACCTTTGGCAACAGTGAAGTTGCCAGGGACTTCTGGTTTCCTTTTCTTTTGCCTCACAATAAATACCCCTGGAAGCAGCAGAAAGGAAATCAGGTGACATATTTCATTGGACAAAGCTGCAAAAGACTCCTTTAAAGTGTTCGAAAGCAAAGATGTCACTTTGAGGACTAAGGTGCACCTGACACAGAGGGATGATGCTTTCAGTTGTCTCACATTTTTGTGAAAACTGGACAATGAATCAGGAAAACTGGAGAATTGATGCATTTGGATTATTGGTGTTGGTGGAGGGATATTGACTATACTGTGGAGTGCCAGAAAAGTGGACAAATCTATGTTGAAAGAAACTCACCCAGAATGCTCCTTCAGTGTGAGGATGAAAAGCCTTCATCTCGTGTGCGTTGGATATTGTAAAAATGGTGTGGGGAGATGCCTGACCTCCTCTCACTTGAAGGGGGAGAGAGTCACCATCAGCATCCACCTCCGAAGGCCAGTGTCGATATAAGTTGGGAGAAGTCAGACATACCTCCCTCCCCACTTCTAACCAAGTCTGACATCACCTGCCCTCCCACGGCACCCTGTACTTTAAGGTTGGGTTTGACATTGTGTTGTTATAACTGCACAGGATGCACAGACATGGGGCTGATGGGGGAGTACAGGTTACAGTTCAGGCTCATGAACACTCAGGATACTGTTCTTGGATCAGGACAGCCTATTCTCAGCTGTGCCTGCAGCGGGTCTTGCTCTGGCCCTTCCCCTCTGCCTGATCTTTGCCTTGTTTGGGCAAGTGTCACAAAGCTCTTACTCCTCAGCACCCTACTCAGCCAGGAAGCTTTGGCATGCAGGTGCTCAGCTCTCAACTCCCTGGTCAGCATACCTGCCACATTGCCTCCTTCCCATCTCCTGGTTCTGCTGCCGCCATTCTCTGTCTCTGGTTCTTTCTGGTCTCTGCAATTTCCGGGATTACAGCGCTCTCTTTTCTGTCTTCTAGGTTAGGAGGCCCCCACCCAGCACAAGGACCCCAGGTCCAGAACCCATGGTTGCTCCTAGCTCTTGGTGGTGGTGATAGGGTCAATCTTTCTTGCTCTGGGATGGCTCACTTGAAGACTAGCCGGATGGCAAGACTGACCAGTCCCCTTATTAGTATTCCATACACGTTGACCCCACCCCAAGGGTGCCAAGTACGTTGATTAGCAAGCTATCTAGTATCCTAGTGGGCCACAAGCATCTCATTTGCATAGTTCCACCAATCGACTAGGTTGCAAAATCCATGACCAAAACTCTAGGCCATGTTAAGGAATTGCACTGCAGGTCATACCTTGGCTCTGCTAGCCAGTGGCAGTGGCCTTTTTATATTTGAAGAATTACTGTACCCCTCCCTTAAATAGGGCAAAGAGTCCTCAGAGTGAGGCCACTCAGGGACAGCCATTCAGGTTGCCAGGGCTATACCTGATCGTGTCAGGCTCTCAGAAGTGGTCTGGGCTCACCCTTTCAGGTGTTTGATAAGGTTGACCTGGGAACGTTCTCGTGCTACTGAGCCTCATGAGGTACCAGCATAGCAGACCCTTAGGGGCCATTTGGTTTGGCCTCTGTCCTCAGTCCAGCAGTGCCCCTCTCCCCCTTAGGTCACTCATCACCGTAATGGTTTGTACAGCTAGCTTTTACACTCACCACTGCTAACACCCAACACCCCTGAATCAAGTGATCCTGGCAGCATCTCTCCCCTGTGCCTTCCAAATCCCTATGCGGTAGGGATTCTTCCATCTCCCCTTTTCAAGTCCAAGCACACCCCAGAAACTTGTAAGTCAGCCACTTCTTGCCTTTACCTCCTCTTATTTTAGATAGCCATTGTTTAAGTGACCTGTGCCTATCAAACCAGAAGTCGGAGCAGGCAAGCATGTTCCTTCCTCTGAAGAATTTTGTTCCAGTTGGATCTTTTGAGCATCTGCATCAGTAAGGTCCAGTCCACAACAAGTTATCTAGTAGTAGAAACTTACACCAGCTCATGATGTCAAACATCTTTCCATTTGGCCAGGTTCTGGGCAGCTCATCCCTAGCTCCTGTGCCTTGTTCGGTCAGTGTGTACCAGCCAAGTCCATACACTTCTCTGCACTTCATACCAACCAGCCCCTTCTCTCTCATCCCTAACCTCCACGGGCTAGGTCAACAACACCAGTGGAACATGTCCAAACTTAACCTATCTTTTCATTGCTGTACCTCCCATCCTTCTGATTGCTGACAGAATAGAGTCCTACAAAGGACCAGACCAGTCAATCTACTTGCTGGCTCCTTTCTAACATACTGTCCTGGAAAGGGGCTCTTCTTTTCCTGCTTCAGTGTACCCAAAGGCAAACAGTTTGCTTGAAGTTAAAAACAAAAAACGGTGGTAGCCATTTTTTCTCCTGCAGGCTTTTCCTTGAAATGCAAACCCTCCTGTGTTCTCCATAGTTCCCCGTAGATCTGCCTGTGGGAATTTCCTGGCTGGGGCTCCCAATACTTTTAACCTTCAATTTTCTTTCCATAAAATGCAAACCTATTGCTTTGGTGTCTGTCATGCAGAGCCGTCCTATCGGACAGTAGAACTGCCACAGGGTTTCCCAGGGTGTATGTCATAATGGAACCATTTAAAAAACATCCTCACACCTTCACAATATCCCTACATCTCTCCTTATAATCTTGGACCTCTGTCGGGTTGGAACCAGATGACTTTGACTCCCTGTCTTTTATCTGGTTTCACCCGCATGACTATTGTTCCAGGTCATTCCAGATGTCGATTTTCTCCACCCAAGTCCTTTCAGCCATTATTGTACTAACAGATGGAACAGTTTAAGAATCATATCACCTCCCATGCTCCTTTGTTTTTTGATACAGTCCTCTGACTCTGAGCCTGGAGCCATTGCAAAGAGGATGGGGTGTGTGTGTAGCTGTCGAGGTGCCACACCTCTTATACCAAGAGGGGAGAGGGTGGGATTAATACCAGCCTCAGCTGTCCAAGGCTGATTCCTATGAGAAGTCAAACATCTCAGCAAAACTTTTTACCAATCTAGCACTAACCACCCCACCTACTGCATTCTACTTACCAGCAAGGTTCAGTAATTCATTGTAATGACCATATTAATT